ATTTCTATGTTCCATTTTTTACTTCTTTAAACATTTTATATTTGAATGTAGGATATTTCCTTCATGTATAGACGTTGTGAATAATGTGAGTAGCGATGCACACGCGAATACAACAATAAAAAAAGATCAAATATACTCAGCAACTTCCTTTAATATTTGTGAAAACACGGAACAGATAGGTGTTCCTGATAGGTAATTATTTACTATACATTTATTACGTTTATTATAATGTAAATTGTTTGAATTAAACATTGCGTTTCCTGTACAAATATAAGAAATATTAATAAAGAACGAGTAGAAAATAGGGGAAAAGTTACGTTAATCAAAGAATAGTTAAATATCGTTTGTAATAAGTAACAAAATTTTAATACTTCTTGCTCAGTAGTAAAATTGTTGACCCCGAAATATATATGGTTATATGCAATATAAGTATCAGGGATGGGTATCCTTACTTTCTATAGTCTATTATAATGATTTCGCAATGATGTTGCACCTTTTTATGATGGTAACAATAACTAATTGAAAACTAGGATTGGGAAGGTTACTTTTAAAAAGTAACTTGTGTCACTACGGATTGTTTATTGAAACAACCTACTCAGAAATGATAATGGAATCGACATCGAATCAATGTCGATTCGATGTCGATTCCATTATCATTTCTGACTAGGAAGTAACTTACTATTTGTATTGTAACGTATTGTCGAATTGTTTTAATTGTTACTTTAATTCATTACGAATAATGAAATATATTTTTCAATAAACAACGCGTGATAATGATAAATTATTATTAAAAATAATTTTTTCCCAACACTTAGTTTTTAATTAATCGTAAAAAATTGCACCGTCATTATTAAATCGTTATCATAAAAAGTAACAATTAAAGTAACGTCGTTACTTAGTTTCCATCAGCGTAAAACAATATACACCCACATATATTCCATTCAAAAATAACGAAATTATCACATAATTACGAGTAATATAAATGTAACATTAAGTATAAATAAGTATTTTACAACTTTTTAATTTTTTTTATACTTTATATAAAGATCCATCAAGCACTTTAACATTACAGATCATATTTTGGATCTTGCTTTTGATAGAAATGTGGCACGCTAAATTTTGGATTTTTCTCTTCACAAAGATGTGGAAAATCATGATTTGGATCTTTCGATCCATGAAGATACAGATACAGCAGAATGTTTATTACTTCTAACAATAAGTCAATCATCACTTCCAGCATTGTTTGATTTTGCGAAAAAGTCTTCAATCATTTTACACAGAAATAACTTACAATGCATTATGTGAGTTACTCTTGTGTTGTACCCAGACAGCACAAAATATTTATGATAAATATTTATTAATATTCAATTTTTTAATTGTTGCATAAATATTACATACATATTTTATATAAAGTTTTATTTGAAATATCATTAAAATATAGACTAAATATTTCATGTAATATTTATGGTAAATATAAATAAATATTCTAATAAGTATTTTTTACTTGAATTATAATATCTCGTTAAGTATTTTCATAGCATTTACTATAACATTTACAATAAATATTTCATAATATTTATAATGAATGTTTATAATCTGTGCAATCTAAGACCACAAAAATATTTACAAAATATTTGAAATAAATCTTAAATATTTTGTAAATATTTTATAAATATTGTGTACTGTCTGGGTATTTTATTAATTATTGACAATATATGACCGTGTTCAATATTATAAAAGGTTAAATTTTATTTTAAATCTATTTTATGACTCATGTAAAATTATACAAGATACTATTTTAATTCTTCTAGGTGTATTTTGCTAATATTTCGTATTAACTGATTATATAAATTAGATGTTAAGTGATATTTATTCGACATGTGATATGAAATTACTTACATATCCTTGATATAAGATATTATAAAAAATTTTGTGAGAAATTATGAAAAAAATTTTTACCAAGAACATAGTCGATATTTTGAAACTTATATTAAATTTCCATTTATTTTATTAAGGGGATCCTAAATAAGCCGTTTGTATTACCGTCTGAATCATATAATTCTTGTACAACATTTGCAAAATTTTTATTGCAATACGGAATTCGCCAATGAATAATTTAAAAATTACTAGTACGTAATCACTAGTTCAATTTTAGAATTTGCTTAGTTCACTTATCGAGTTTTTCTCTAATGTCGACACTACCTCGGAGAGTAACTATAATAAACTAATAATTAATTGTCTTATTAATAAATGAACTAAGCTAATTCTAAAATCAAACTAGTGATTTTTAAATTATTCATTGGCGAATTCTCCATTTTCAATAAAATAAAAAATAATATAATATATTGAGAGAATTTATTCTTATTTCTTTGATTAGTCACTTACTTTGATACTCTTCGTTGTTCTTTGCTGTTACACATTACACTTCCACTTCTACTTTCCTGAAAGAAAATATAAAACATTTTCCAATCAATACTTATATAGATATGTAATATCTATATTCGATATTTATATAGGTATGTAGTACACTATGGATTAATATTTATTCTCTATCACGTACTCCCTTACTTCAAAAGTAACATAGCTAAAAATGTGATTTTTCGAGTTATTACTGAGTAATAAATGAGTTGGGTTTAAACATTACTCTATCAAACGTGAACTTATTTATAACTTTAATAAAAATTTCCACAATTAAAAAAGAAGGTGTTTATTTAAAAAGAATTGTTACTATTCAAAAGATAACTTTTTAAGAATGATACGAAAACGATTTGACATATATTTAATTAGTCGATCATTTTCTGCAAAATTAAAAAATAGCTTTTCCTCTTTCTTGAAAAACTTAACTTTTATAGCTGTGTCACTTTTGAATTGGTAAGGAACCGATATACGTACTGTCACCTGTGCAAAGACCGCAGGATATAGTCAATAATTGTGAGAAAATGTCACATGTCTATCGCATGACAGTGCATGTCATAATTAAGTAAATCACAAAGGACTAGAAATTTGAGGAAAAAGAAAATTTCTCAAAGTTTGTAGCCGCTTAATAAATAACTTTCAAATAGCAATAAATTGTTATATATATATTTTTTTAGCAAATAAAAGCGTACACGATGATGAAAATCCTTGATAGTTGTGTGCGCAAATAAAAGAGACCTATAAGATAATTATCTCTCTCTCTCCCCCTCTCCCCCCCCTCTCTCTCTCTCTCTCTCTCTCTCTCTCTCTCTCTCGCTCGCTCGCTTGCTGTGTGTATGCATGTGTAAAATACAGACGGTTAAAAGAAAGTCTTTTATCATACTTATCTTTGTAGGTAATAAAGATTGTAGTGCTGTACATTAAATATCTGTATTTCTTGACATCCCGACATTTTTCAACTATCACTTCATGATAATAGCAAATGAAAGAGGACTTCTTAAAATCGTTATTTATTCAGAAATACGCTATGTTATTGACGATATTGAACACACACTATAATAACAGGATAAAACGTTATAAATCATAATGAAAAGAACAGAACATCCTATATGACAACGTGTATTAATACAAGATCAAGTATCGAGTATAAGAAATTGAAAAGAAGAGATAATTCGGTGTTCACATTGCGTTTTTCTTAGCATTAAAGAGGAGATATCGAGCGGGGATCGCGGGTATCCGCTAATGACATTTAGACCTATTCGTTCAACTTCGAACTATTTCGAAGAATCAGAAATGTGAAGATAGCCGGTCGGGTAGACGAACGAATGACGCGGTCTCGAGAAGACATTGTTCCTTCGATATTCAATTAAAGTCAATCTTTGATTGTAAAACGTAATTGTGGCTAGCGAAAATAAGTTATAACAGTTGTAATCGCTTACAATAAATTCTTTAAACTATAAAGAGCCAAATTATATATCAAATTAATTATCATCGTCACGTAGTGGAATACTGGCGATGAAGTCCGATTACCAAGGCAGCGGCGTGTAATCGTGTTCGAACGAACGAGCATTTCGTTTTGACTATCGTTTCACCATCACCATCAGCTATTCCTCAAGAAACATTTTTGATCTTTCGAGCTGGATTTGCTCCAGATGAAAGTGACAACCACACGCTGACGGAAATAGACTGACGAGGTTGTACAAATTGCAACTATCAGAAGATCATCACTCGCCAATCAAAGAAACATTTAGAACCGAACGTCGGACCACTTTAGTCATCAAGTGGGGAACTACTGGTGTGTTTATCATTGTGAAGGGACAGCCATTCATCCGACGCTGCATCTTGATCGCTAAGACACAACGATGGCACAAGCAAGGTTTGTGAGCGAAATATTGTTTTACTTTACTAATATAGAGTAAACTAGATTAGTCTTGCATTTATTTCTGTACAGAGTTTCCCAATAAATAAACTGACGTTACTCGTCATTTTGATATCATCTTAACAGCATTTTGATGTTTAGGACGTCATTTGGACGTCACTATAATAAAAAAACAGCTTAATTTTTGCTGGATAATTGTTAATATGATATCAAATAAATATCAAAATGGCAGTCAAGATCATCGTCATGATATGAGACATTTTGCAATCATATAGTCATTTTGCCATCATTTTGATTACTCTTTTTGATATCATATTCCTAATCGATTTGACGTCACATCGACATCACCTTGATTAAATAGTTTTCACTGGGTATATATCAATTAATTATAAATAATATGACGTATATAAGCGAATGTTTAGTGTAATAAATAAAATAACTTAATAATGTTAAAAATGTATAAGATTCTTGTATTTAAAATAATAATGCAAAAAATTACAGAAATTAATACAAAAATTTACTTAAGAAGAACGATTCTTTATAATTACTTTTTTTTAACAGCTATAACTGTAACGTATTACTTTTCAGAATTCGATAATTTGTGATGGTACCAAATTACTTTTTGAAAGGAAAAAAAATGATAACTCTGTAACTTTCACAAAGTAACTTTCCCAATCCTGCAATTTTAATTGACAACATCGTAAACATGGATTTCCAAAACGTGAATTCCTTAAACGTTTGGTTGAATTTGCTCGCGGGCAATCTGTTACCGATGGTCGACCATGACATACCTATTTCGTTCTTTTGGAGGATGTACAGTGTCTTTGTATGGATATTAGAAATAGTTGTAACGATCATGATGATACCCGGATGCATGTACGTGTCAATGGAGAAGGCTATAAATGACAGCCTCATCTGCTTTGTAGAAACAATAGAAATGTTTTTTATGATTTGGCGAATTTACGCTCGTAAAGATCTGATGCATCTATTAATCCAAAAACTGAATGGGATGCTGCATACTGCTGATGAAACTATGAAGAACATCGTGACAGAGATTCTAAACCCGATAAAGGGTCCACTTTATTTCTACTGGACCACTGGCACGATGTCGATAATAGTGTGGCACCTTGTAACGTTTCTAGTAATATTCGAAAAGAATCTATTTTATTATGAAGATTACAGAGTACCTGCTGGTTTTTCTAAACAGCCATTCTCGCTTAAAGTCTTTCTATTAGGAGGCCTGTTTATACTGCTCGGCATGGTATATTCGTTCATAAAAAAAGTTAGTGCGGAAGTATACACAGTGCATTTGATTTTAATGATAACTGCGCAGTATCGATACATTGCGGAAAAAATTGCAATAGTATTTCAAGAAGAAAATGAAGGTGATGAATGTCAAAAAAGACATTTCTCTACATCTTATCGAAAAAAAGAAACAGAAATTAAAGCGCTCTGTCGACATCACAATGAGTTGATATAGTAGGTATCTCAGAGTTTATTTAAGTATGTTGTTTCTAATAATCTTTGTAGATAGAAAAAACATAAATATAACATAATGATTAAGTAATATGATAAATTAGTTCTTATATGATTAAATTATTCGATTCAATTATATTTTAAATTTGCGCGCGCGCTTTAATAAAGTTTATATTTAAATCTACTTTTATTATGTTATTTAATAAGGCTTTAAGAATATACATTATACGTTTTCTTTCAGCTTAATGTCAATGCTAAAAGAATTACTGTCTTTAACCTTTACTGTAATGTATGTAAATAACGTTTTACGATTCTGCTTTATTGGTGTCTTGCTAGGCAACGTGAGTAATAATTTATTACCACTAATATTCCCCCCCCCTCTCTCTCTCTCACCCTCTCTTATCTTTCCTTCTTTTCTTTTTTCTTTGTAGAAATTTATTTTACATAAAAAATTTGAATACCTATTTAATTATATTGAGGATTTTTAATCATGAAATAGTAGCAAATACATCTTCATTAAAATTTCAGTTAGCGGAAGTGACGTTCTTCGAAGCGATGCCGATTATGATATACACATCAGGTGCATTAGCGCAACTTTATATTTTGTGCTCCTGTGTGCAACAATTAATAAACGCGGTAATTGATCATTTATCTTTTAAATAATTTTGTTTTTAATTTACAACTGTAAAATTGAAAAATTTCTAAAAATTACTGTAAGGATGTTAAAGAAGTGCCAATTTTTACCTTTGGCAATAAAATGATATGCTTTCTGCAGTTTTTTGAGCTACAGAATCTGATTTTGCTTTTCAAAAAATTTTAATTTGTCTAGAAAGTATTAAAATCATCATGAAGCTATTAAGAGTCGTCACAAAATATATAAAGTAAGTCGTAAATTGAAAAAAATTGATCAATGTCATATAAGTAAATTGGCCAATCACAGTAAGGCCAGTAACGAATCCAATGTTACGATTTTCTTACTGCTTACGTCTCACTACCTTACATTTTTGTATGTACCATCAATATTTTCTCCCAAGTGATTCTTATTTATGAGTAAATGTACTTCGCCGCGATCCTCTGTCGGTGGAGACATGTACTGCTTGCTTGCGAATAATTTTTGTGGTACATATAAGAAGTATTCATACAATATTCTGAACATTTCATCGATATTGCACATTCTGTGATGATTCTTTTATTATTCCAGAGTATTGGGAATCGAACTTTCTATGAATATTTAACTACAATGAAAGAAAAGATTGGCTGCTGCAGCAATTTAAATAATAAAATATGGCATAGCATTTTTAATTGGCTGCAGCAGTCAATTTTTGGTTGTGTTAGCCTATCTGCAATGTCAATAGACGATTTCGATAACGCAATCAAAAATAAGTTGCTGCAGCCAATTAAAAATGCTATGCTATATTCAGCCAATCTTTTCAGTGTAGAAAATATTAGAATATAGATAGATTGTTGCTATATCTCCACTCATAGGGCACGTAAAGAAAAAATAAAAGCATTTATTAAACAATCGCGGAGTGTAAGCTATCGAGCGTATGTCAAACTTGATGGATTCAATCATTATATTATTGAGATCCAATAATCTCAATCCGCGCGCCGCAACTTGTCGGCTGGCGTCTTTACGTTCTTTATGTTCCTTTGAACATAGCCGGTCTCACACCACGACGTATCGCTGCGCTTGTTTCAGCACCGAGAGACACTATTGTCACATCGTGTCTCCAGAAAAAGATTTCTAAAATATAAATAATACTTTTTATATCTTCATTCAATAGCATTAAGAAGTTCTTCAAGAATAAAGGCTTAAATGATATTTTCCCTCAAATAATCTTATTTAAAAAATTTTACCATTCTCTTTAGCAAAATTGGCACTTTTCTAACTTCTTTATTTTTTTTTTACATAATTAAAATTCTCGCTTTAGTAAACGTACTGATATATAACATTAATATTTTCAGACATTACAGTTTGATGAATTGTATTTTATATTTAATATAAATAAATAAATTTAATATTAAATATAATATACTTATATGTAATTTTTGTTGCATATTGCTCTTCTGTGGAAACTGTAGAGTACGGAAATATCGGATAAGGCATTTCATGAAAAGTGGTATTTGCTTCAGCCATCAATAAAACATCTATTTATCTTTATAATTATGGCTAATAATTTAGAATGCAAAATTGCTACGTTTAAAAATTTTAATTTCTCCTTGCCCTCAATGTTTTTAAAAACAAATTGAAAAGTATGATATCCAAAGGAAAAATCTTATTTACAGTAGTTACAATTGTTACTTCCAAACTAATAACAAAAATTAATAATCCTATTAAAATGTATATTACTTACAATGGAAGGATTATCACGAAATAAAGAGATTATAATTAGTATTAAATGAGCTGTATGTATATTTATTTACTGTATTCCTCTTATGGCTACAAGAAAATTTGACTTTATACTGATACATTATGTATCTTCATGCCTCTTTTTGCCATGAATCTTACGCACTCAACAATCTGCATGATACACTACGCAAAAAAATTGAAGGATCACCTAGTCCATCAAAAATAGGTAAATATTCAAGAGTGCAACTTCGTCAACGTGACCTTTTTTTACCTAGGACCTTTAATTTTTTTGCGTAGTGTAGATATGGTAACGATTTGGGGTAATTGTACAGTTTAGTTACAGCACCTCAAAAATCAATAGAATTAGGTTTATTCGACGCCGAACGTAGCCTATGTATGCATTCAGAAACCAGTCGCTGAGCTTAGTAATCCACTCAGTGAGAGGTCGTAGTACCTACTGAATGGCTGCGTTCAGCAGTTGAGTCCACTGAATGCACCCATTAATGATTCTTTAATATGATTGATTCATACACTTATATCCAGTAAAGAACTAAAGGTAAGAACCAATCATATTAAAGAATCTATCACTAAGCACTTACTAATCAGTATTTTCTGTTCAGTGCAGCTATTATGACCGATTCTTGGTATTTAATTAATTTTAGAACAATTTAGAAAAAACATATAACATACACAGTATAGGCAATAGGAGTCAATGCTGGTTATCAATTAGCATAATTCTTCTTAATATTGAAAATATAAACCTTGACTTTGAACGTTGCCACTCATGGTTTGAGTCTTCATCAGCAATCTTTCCCCCTAGCACAACGGTTGGAATATTGCATAACAAAATAATATCTCCAACGTTTTTCCTCTCAAAATTGAACCGTTAACTGTTGTGAGGTAAGTCACATACTCACCAAGTTAGAAAGCTGAATGGCAATGAGAACTCAAGCTAAAATTATATAAATGATTAAATTATCGTATGTATAATTTGAAAATTAATAATCACCTCACCTCTCACACAGTCGACGCTTCTACACTGAACAATAAATCTCTCTTATGCAACATTTTGTAACTCGTTAATTAATTTTAGTTTGTTTTTTTTTTTCAAATTTTATTCAATTAATTTTATTCTAATATTTAATTAACTTTATTTTTCTATAATTAAAGTAACAAATTTTTTAATATTAATATTTTTATTTTCTAGCAAAAGAAAAAGGGAGGAGTTATGTAAAGAGGGAGAATATGAGGAATATTTGATATGTAATGCAACGTCTAATCTTCTTCGATAATTATTTCCTCATTTTCATCCAATGCTTTGTTTGTCTCCTTCGGAGTGGTTTTAATTATAGCTTCATAACAGCGCGTTTCTGCCATCACCAAACATTTTCGTCTGTAAGTAGACATATACGTCAAAATATAAAATACACAGTCGACAATGGTAAATATAATTGATTAAAATAATTTAAATAATTAATACATATATTCTGATACTTGCACGTTACTGTGATCATCCCGCGGTTTTCTCACTGGATTCCAGTTAGTTACAGGCTTCTCATTCGTTAGCATCAAACCACGGATGCAGTACGATAATGCAACTTTATTCAAATTGCGATCCTATTGTATTAAGAAATATAATAATAATAATTTTTCGTAACAAAAGTGATGTTTTAATCGAACTTACACGCCATTCAGAATTTAGAACATCAGCCAAGCTCAATATATCAGACGCTACTGCGGCTTCCTCCAAAGTTCTTATAGTATTCAGATAATTCTCCTGCAGGAATTTGACGAACACCACTGACTGTGATTGGAAGAATGCTGCTATTTCTTCAGGATCGTGTACAAACTTGAAAGAATTTTCATATGATTGTCCTAAAATATTAAATATAAATCATAATTTGTGAAAGTTTGGCAAATCCAGAAGTAAAATCTAATTACTTTTCGGATTTATGACTCTTCCGACGCCATGTAGCAGACCCAAAGTTTCTTCCCGTATTCCGCATTCGCTTTTGATGTGTCTCTCGGGCACTAACAATCATAAAAACAATGCAGATTCATACTTACTGGTTCAATTATTAGTGCATATACCTCTGAGAGAAACAAAAATTAGATTTAGAATAGCGCTGCGCACGTCGCCGATGCTGTTGGACAATATTTCGTCGATGTGTCGTTGAGAGACATGCAGCATGTTGCCAGCAATGGAATTCAATGTATTAGATACCCGTTTCAACACGTTCTTCATCGAGGTAGTTGTGGCTGCGTTTATACTGTATAAATAAATCACAATTAAAGAGAACCAGAGAGGCGTTTAATCTTTCAGAAATTATAATTGACTCACTTGATGATGTCAATGCCAAACTTCATCCTTGTATCAGGTGGAAACAAAGTGTGCATCAGTCTTGAATTGCCAGTTTCCGTAAAAACGAATATCACAGGTTCTCTTCCCATTAGAAAATATTTTCTAGATATTTTTTGTAAAGAAATATATCACAATGGTTTGATTAAAGCATTGAACGGTTCGTTACAAAGTGATCAAATGTTGCTTACTCCAAAAGTGCGAAGAAGCTTTTGTAATCCTCGTGATAGACATTTGGGATATCCTTAACAAGGAACAATTGTTTTAAACAGTCACCCAATACTGTGTGATAACG